CCACTAGACCAAAAGGTCTTGTGCTGGATGACCATGGTTATTTAGTTTACTTTATCCTTTCACGAAGTTCATAATAAGAAAAAGTTTTGGCAAGATTAGAAACATCGATTTACCACTTAAGAGACAGTTGTCTTAGCCATTAGACTGCAAGGTCTTATACGCTGAGCGGCGATGGTTATTTAATTTACTTTATTATTTTCACGAAGTTCATAAAAAAAAGGTCATCGCAGGATTCGAACCATCGATTTACTACTTGGGAGACGATTGTCTTCGCCACTAGAATGCATGATCTTGCACTGAACGGTTATGGTTATTTAATTTATTTATCCTTTTCACAAAGTTCATAAATAAAAAACGGTTACGGTACGATTCGAACCATCGATTTAACACTTGGGAGACCATCGTCTTCTCCACTAGACCGCAAGGTTTTGTGCTGGATGACCATGGTTATTTAGTTTACTTTATCCTCTCACGAAGTTCATAATAAAAAAAGTTTTAGCAAGATTCGAAACATCGATTTACCACTTAAGAGACAGTTGTCTTAGCCATTAGACTGCAAGGTCTTGCGCTGAGCGGCGATGGTTATTTAATTTACTTTATTATTTTCACCAAGTTCATAATAAAAAAGGTCATAGCAGGATTCGAACCTTCGATTTACTACTTGGGAGACGATTGTTTTCGCCACTAGACTGCAAGATCTTGCGTTAAATGGTTATGGCTATTTCATTTACTTATCCTTTTCACGAAGTTCATAATGAAAACGGTTACGGTAGGATTCGAACCATCGATTTAACACTTGGGAGACCATCGTCTTCGCCACTAGACCGCAAGGTCTTTTGCTGGATGTCCATGGTTATTTAGTTTACTTCATCCTTTCACGAAGTTCATAAAGAAAAGGTCATAGCAGGATTCGAACCATCCATTTAAGACTTGGAAGACAATTGTCTTTGCCAATAGTCTGCAAGGTCTTGTGCTGAACGGCCATGGTTATTTAGTTTACTTTATTCTTTTCACGAAGTTCATAATGAAAAAGGTCATGGCAGGATTTGAACCATCGATTTACCACTTGGGACACAATTGACTTTGCCACTTGTCTGCAAGGTTTTGCGCTGAACGGCTATGGTTATTTAGTTTAATTTATTCTTTTCATGAAGTTCATAATGAAAAAGGTCATGGCAAGATTCGAACCATCGATTTACTATTTAGGAGATGATTGTCTTCGCCACTAGACTGCGAGAACTTGTGCTGAACGGTTATGGTTATTTAATTTATTTATCGTTTTCACGAAGTTCATAATGAAAAACGGTTATGGTAGGATTCGAAAAATCGATTTAACATTTGGGAGACCATCGTCTTCGCCACTAGACCGCAAGGTCTTGTGCTGGATGACCTTGATTATTTAGTTTTCTTTACCCTTTTCACGAAGTTCATAATAAAAAATGGTTTTGGCAGGATTCGAAACATCGATTTAACACTTGGAAGAAAATTGTCTTAGCCACTAGCCCAAAAGTTTTTCGGGTGAAATGGCTATATTCATTTGAACTATTTTATCGTTTTCACAAAGTTCATAAAGAAAAAAATTTATGGTAGGATTCGAACAATCGATTTAACACTTAGGAGACCTTCGTCTTCACCAGTAGAGCACAAGGTCTTGTGCTGGATTACCATGGTTATTTAGTTTACTTTATCCTTTCACGAAGTTCGTAATAAAAAATGGTTTTGACACGATTCGAAACATAGATTTAACACTCGTGTTAGCCACTAGACCACAAGTTCTTCGGGGAATGGCTACGTTTATTTGATCTACTTTATCGTTTTCACGAAGTTCATAATGAAAAACGGTTATGGTAGGATTCGAACCATCGATTTACTACTTGGGAGACGATTGTCTTCGATACTAGACCACAAGGTCTTGTGCTGGATGACCATGGTTATTTAGTTTACTTTATCCTTTCACGAAGTTCGTAATAAAAAATGGTTTTGACACGATTCGAAACATAGATTTAACACTCGTGTTAGCCACTAGACCACAAGTTCTTCGGGGAATGGCTACGTTTATTTGATCTACTTTATCGTTTTCACGAAGTTTATAATGAAACGGTTATGGTAGGATTCGAACCATCGATTTACTACTTGGGAGACGATTGTCTTCGCCACTAGACTGCAAGATCTTGTGCTGAACGGTTATGGTTATTTAATTTATTTATCCTTTTTCACGAAGTTCATAATGAAAAACGGTTATGGTAGGATTCGAACCATCGATTTAACACTTGGGAGAGCATCGTATTCGCCACAAGAGCACAAGGTCTTGAGCTGGATGGCATTGGTTATTTAGTTTACTTTATTCTTTCACGAAGTTCATAATGAAAAGGTCACAGCAGGTTTCGAACCATCGATTTACCACTTGGGAGACAATTGTCTTAGCCACTAGACTACAAGATCTTGTGGAGAATGGCCATGGTTACTTAATTTACAGTATTTCTTTTCACGAAATTTATAATGAAAAACGGTTATGGTAGGATTCGAACCATCGATTTACCACTTTGGGACCATTGTCTTTGCCAATTGAGTACAAGATATTGTGCTGAACGGCCACGTTCATTTATTTTACTTTATCCTTTTCACGAATTTATAATGAAACACGGTTATGGTAGGAGTCGAACAATCGATTTAACACTGGGGAGATCATTTAAGTTTGACAACCTTCAATCCAGCTGTTTTTGAAGCATTGTAATAAAATTTTTTGTGTTCCTTCACAGGCAGCTAGTGATCTACAATAAAAATAACCAATGATTCAATATTTTGTCCACCACAACCCAAGGTGTGTGTACATAGTTTTTACTAGTAAACAACTCTAACATGACTTTCCCTGGACAAGTAAAGTTGTCGGGTTTAAATAGAAATAAACACACTTACAATGATTTCCCAACTTCTTCTTTTCGTTCCCGTTTTCTTCTATCCGATTCGTTAAACAAGTTTTTAAAGAAATTATCTAAAGCTGATAACGTGATGTTATCATTGAATCACCACCTTTTCGTGTATGGAAATGAATATTGTGTTTCCATATTGCTTAATTCACGATCAATATGGCGGGTGGTCGGTAGCTCTATATATTTTTTTATGATATTTATTTTATCTAACGAGTTTCGTACATCTCGACCAATTAATATGGCATTTAAGAATATTAATTGCATGGATTTGGACGGATTGGCTGCGGATGGCATAACCTTGAGTATTTGTAGAGATATTGCTTTTCGATGTCGGGTCAACATACAACGAGTTGGTTTTGAATCTAAATACAAAGTCTCATTTGCGATTGCTAAAGAACCGAAACATGGATTTGTTAGTCTAGTCCTATGTGCGAAGCCTTTTAAGCAGGATCTAACAATGTGTGTGGATGTTTCGTCTAATCCTGGTCCTCAATCTTTTGATAATAATCAGGCGGATAAGATGTATCAACATCGAAAGCAGTCACGTTTGATGAACACGTTTCGACCCGCTAATAATCCTGAGGAGCTTAGTTCAATGCTTGGGCAGTTGAATCTACAGAAAGGTTGGTTGTTCCATATGACCTATAGGAATATTTTCTATAATACCTACTTGGCAAACACCTCCGCGACACTATACAATCACTATCATCATGCAAATCATCAGCCTGTAAACATATATGGCAGAAATGATATTAATTAAGAGAAACAATCTCATCAATATTCCTTTATCAAGCATTGCCAACACTCCTGATACAGCTGTTACTCAGCTTTGTTCTTTTGGTCTTCTCAACTGCCTGTCTATTCGAAACAAAGCCAATTTAGTCAAAGACTATGTGGTTGAGAATGAATTTGATATATTTGCGATAACAAAAACGTGGCTTCACCCTGACAAATTTGATCTTATATCTATTGGGAATTTCACCCCGAAGGGCTACTCTTTAAACATATCTCGAGACAACAAGGTAGATGGGGAGGCATTAGTATACTATACAACAACACTTAAAAGTCAAGCTGGACTCGGCGAACATGTTCACACACATTAAGTGTTTCGAACTGATAGGTATGCAAATCAATGTGTTATCTCAAATACTAAATATAATCGTATTATATCGACCTCCATGTAGACGATTAGTCGGAATTAACAACAAAAAAAATTCTCAATCTTGTTGATTCTTTTAATCTGGAACAACAACCAACACACATTGCTGGTCACACGTTAGACCTTATCTTGTCTCGCCATGAAGAAAATATTGTTCAATCTATTGACGTTCATGATCCATCTATATCTGACTATTACACGGTTACATGTGAACTCAATTTTAAAAAAAACATTGTTTCAGAGAAGGGTCGTGGAGTCACGTAAAATTAAAGCAATCAATATGGACTGATTCTTTAATGACATTAGGCTATCTCCGATTATCACTGGGAACACGGCTGATATTAGTGCGAAAGTCAACCAATACAACTCGGAGCTGTCCAGAATTCTGGATCATCATGCACCACTTATCACCAGAGTGATAATTAGTCGTCCAGCTGCACCTTGGTACACTGAACAAATTAAAAACGAAAAACGTATCAGAAGGAAACTCGAGCGGGTATGGCGTAAGTCAAGACAATCCTGTGATCGTCTAAAATACAGTCAGTCATGTCACCGTGTCAGTGAGCTATTATCGGAAAGTCGTACTCATTACTATTCTGAAATTGTTAGAGATAATGGGAGTGACCAAAAGCAATTATTTAAAACCGTTGGAAAGTTTCTACATCATACCCCTGATTCTCATTATACTGTGTGCGAATCTGATCAGAATCTAGCTAACAATTTTATGACTTTCTTTGAGGACAAAATTTTGTAATAATGTAATGTTTTGGTATTTTGATTTTTGTTTAAGTTCGTGATGTATTTCTATGTAGCCTCAGTCTTATCCTAATGGGAATTTTTTTTAGATGTGAAGAGAGGACGGCCATTCGAATTAAAGTACTAAATGTGCTTTGTAAGATATTAGGAACGTCATCTCCACTATATGAGGTATAAAATGTTGGTACTTTGAATAAATTTTAGTCCATTTTTCTAGACATTAGCGATATTATGAATTTTTTTTTTAGTTTTGTAACTCCTTGTTTTTTACAGGGAGAAATACTTGAGAATTCAGTGTTGCCACATTTAGACCACATTGCGAAAGATCGGGATATTTTTGTGCAGATCCGAGCTGTCCAGTTTCTTGTCGATGTTATTGAATCCTCTGATTCACCGAAAGTTTGCGATGTTTTGCATATAATCGAGAAGGTACTCAATACAATCCTTTTCAGTTGGTTTCATTTCTCCACTCCAATTTGCCTCTTCATTAGTGATGAGCTGATACTGTACTTCAATAAAAAACTCTCTCTTATCAGTGAAAGCTTCCTGACCTGAACCCAACCATATACCCGCGAATTGGATCGTTTTACACGGGAGTCGTGAATGCAAACGCATCAGTGAAGTAAAAGGATATATATTTCATTTATCAATTCCAGATTGCCACTGTCCAGTAGATCCTCTCAAGTGATACGTTAAGCCGTCGTGTAAAGAACATGTAAGGTAATTATAGAGACTGCAAGGTATTTGTAGGAACATCTAGAGACATATAATTACATCTAATCACTGTAGATTGCCTTTGTTGCTGCAGCCTCAGGATGAAACAGCGTAGAAAGACATCAAAGAGGCTGCATTAGGATTAGTACGGGGAACTATTTTGGCTTCAAGCTAGATAGGGATTTTTTTCACGACTTATCGTTCCAGTTGTATAAAATGAAACTTTTCACAATGAATTCCAAATCGTAATTCATCATGGTATCAATGCCCCCCCTCCTCTCTCTTTCAAAAATTAGGCCCATGTTCCATTTTTAATTTAATAAGTGGGTTCTTTATAAAGTGATAAGCTAGCTAAAGCTAATGTTTCCAAACTATTTCCACATCAACATATGCTATATTTTTGTGCCGAAGATTAGTGGATATAAATAACATTGGAGAGAACGAAAGGTTCCAGTGACGTTAGAGGTACTATTATTGTTTTCAAGTTTCTTCATAACTTACCTGTGTGTTCATTTATATATATATATATATATATATATATATATATATATATATATATATATATATATATATATATATATATATATATATATATATATATATATATATATATATATATATATATATATATATATATATATATATATATATATATATATATATATATATATATATATATATATATATATATATATACTTGATATTGCCAGACATTTGAATATTTGTGATTTGAATAATTCAACTCAGGCTTTCATTCCATTTCTATCCTTAGGTCTCAGATTATCCTAAGGGATTTGTTGTTGTCTGTGGTGAATTTAGAACAATGGTATGTACCAGATGCTGCTGGTACCAGCCATATAATAACAAAAGGATAAGATACCGGTTATTTCTGTAAATTGAAGTTTTACATTTTGTGCACCATTTTGCTTTTGTTTTCCAGCTTCTTTTCACATCAGAGAGGAGAGAGGAATTGCTGAAAAAGATGATGGAATCTTCTTTCAATAATGTTGGTGTTATGATAAAGTATGTGAACATTTTAAGTAAACAAATTTTAAGTAAATGACAAAATGACTTACATTCAGGTTACTTTATTTACGTTTTAACCGTTTTTGACAAAATTCTTTCCAGGTCTGTAATTTACTTTGAGCTGTATTTGTTATTTCTTTTGCCTCAGTTTTAGGCAGAAGAAAAGTTCCATCAAAGTGGAGTCGTTTTTTAAAACAAATTTGGAAAATACAGTTGAATGATATATTGTTAAGACAGTATTTCGTTTGTCCTGTGTAAAGAATGTGAGATATGACAGTAAATGACAAATTTTTCGTCTCAGTGATGACGAACATATCACATCAATGTCAGAATTCAGCGTCTATAAAGAAACTCCTCGGATTAAAGTGAGTTATGTTGTTAATAAAATTTTTCTAAGAGTCTATCCTTTTTCTCATTTTAAAATCGTTTTGACACTGTCAAATTTAGGATCCTGTTCAAAGAACGCTGTGTTTCTTAGAAAGGTGTCTTTTGGAAAGAAATCCCGCGACGTACAATATCGTCACCCTTCATCCCCTTAGCTCATTAAGTCATGCGACATTCCATGTCAGTTCCAGTAATTGTTCATGTCTGACCTTGAAAAAAAACACTCCAAACACTCCAAACACTCCATGTCTTCTGACCTGGATTCACGTTTACTGCTTTTATTGTCCTTTTTATTTCACGTTTCCATTTTGAACATGTCCAATTGCAAAAAAGTATCCAGCCGAGTTAAAATACTTTTATTTTTGTAGTTACTTTCCAGAATTTACCGTATATACCGTATAGAATATTATAGTTTTCAAACTTCTTTTGCTGTCAGATATTTTCAAAATTTGCTATCGAAACCATCCTCAGTTGTTGGGGCGGAATACACAAGCGGTCGGCTGAGAAATTACTCGTCTCCTGACAGGTAGTGTAAGAAAGCAAATTTTGTATGAAGCTATAAAAAATATTTCTTGTTTTGAATGTTTGTATTTCACTCAATCTGGGATACATTATTGGCTGGTTTGCTAGACGGTGTTAGAGCCAGTTGAAACGGAGATGTTTGCGTAAAAACGACCCCAACGAAGAAAAGTACTGTACGCTTATTCATAGATGATTGAGCGAAAATTATGGTCAAAATTTTCCTGATGAAAATCTTGTACTGCTATGATTACCCTAAATACGATCCCTCATTTCATTCTCCTGCTGACGTATGTGATCTCATATAACACACCAACAATTACACTTCTCGTCAGGTATCAGGCAATAGCATTATTCCTATTAGCCAGTTCAATACATTACATACAGCAAAAAGAGAATTGTTTTTTTAAGATGATATATTTTTCAAGGTTATCGTTGGGGTCCATTGTATAATGTTGTTGACGAAGAAGTAGAAAGCAGTAATTTAAACTGCGTCTCCAGGTGAAATATTTCTCTTTTTATTTCACTTTAAATTTTTGAAATATCTCCAAAAGCTTATATTGTCTTATGACTGGTTCCTTGCAGGAAATTTAACCGAGGCTGTGTACAGATTTAACTGCAATATTTCCTACTGCGGTCTACTTCATGCAGTCACCCAAGACGTAAGTTGACAACTTCTTATCTTGTACTTTTCTGCAGACAAAATCCTGTGTAGAGAATATTATTGCCTTTTTATTGAGTTTTAATGTTCTGTCAAAATCTGGATTAAGGCTGTTTTCCACTCACGTGTTTTTTATACGCACGTACACGCACGTAAAAATCTAAATCCTTGTTCATGCTACCTTTGAAAGGACTAAGTGAATAAATCGACCTACAATCATGTGCAAAAATTATTGGGACACGGTCATGACACCTAGTATCTACCCCCTCTACCCCCAAAACAATGTTGTTTCTATGATACCAAGCCATTTGATTTGCCGAAAATATCACTCTCAACATTGTCAATGGGGGAAGGGGGGGAAAGTAAATAGTTTAACAAAATTCGTGACATAATAGTTGTCAAAATGAAAAAAAATGTGATTAAGATACGTAAAGTTTCATAATTTTTGCACATGATTGTAGATGCACGTTAATTAATAAAAATTTAAAAGCATTTAAATTCTCCGTATGTGTACATGCGTATAAAAAACGCGTAAGTAGAAAGCAGCCTTTAGTGTAAACTAAGCGATTGCTAGGCTGCATAGTTACGCCAAATGAAAACATTTGCCCATTTCGGCTTCTAATTGAAAACATTTAGCAGGGTTTAAAACGTCTGCAAACAACACGGTACATTTAAACTGGTTTATCCAGTATAGGCAAAGAGTATGGTTTTAATAAAAATACCCTAACCTGCTACTGTTCTGTACACAAATGTAGACAAAACACTAATAGTACTCCCTAAAAACCACCGTAACTCCAGCCTAGTCCCAGGCCTCTCATTGCGCGTGTTTTATATTTCCGTCACGTCACCGAATGAAACGCGCACGAGAGGCCTAACACAAAATATTTTCTAATCTTAACGGCCCATTTAATGTTGTGAACTTGAAATTAGAATTGTTTTTAAAGTAAATGTTTGCAATTTACAACAGTAACCAAGGAAGCGAGAATAATTTAAATGGGTGGATAGAAGTTTTTATAATCATAAACATGTACGTACGGACTCGAGTTTTCTTGATAGTCGATAGCGTTGACGGCGAACGACATTGAAACGTTTGTATGAATATTTCGACTCCTGGCAGTATAATTAATATCCTGTAGCTTATTTCAAGCAAATATTTGACTAACGACGTCGAACAAGGCCAGTTAACCGCGTCGTAGATCGTAAACTGACCTCAATACAGAAAATGGGGATAAAAAGTCCCCACATTAGCCAAAATACAAAACATTTTGTTCTAGGCCTCTCAGTTCCCGCCTCGCCGCGTATAAGGAACGTTAAGAGGCCTAGGGACTAGGCTGCGGTAACTCTGGTTGCAGAGTTGACTGGGTCCGAATCCATGAAATGGTAGTTTTGAAATTTTCTCGCCAGAAGTACAGCTGGAATATTAAGTCTTTTAAACTCCAATATATATTTCAAACGATTTTAAATATTTTGTAGGACTTTTCTCGGGGAATAAAGAAAGACTTATCATTAATGCCATCACAATGCTCATTGCTCACGAAGGTATTGTATATCTTTGCCAATAAATTTATTTAGTGTTCAACCCTAAAATATACATATTCTGACTGCTATTACCTTCACAGGTGTTCTATATATACATAAAATAATTAAAAAGTTTCGTCTATTTTCAGGAGACCAAAACAAAATATGAGATAAAGATCTCGAAGCACTGTTTCACGATTTGAGAAGTTGGGTTCGATCAAAAGCAGGTTTCGCGCTTTCACAACGCTCACTAGGCGAGAAACGTTTATCTTTAACTGCAAAACATGCTGTTTACTCAACCAGTTCACTTCCGTGAGAAGGTTGGTGTGAAAACTGTGAAAGCTTTGAAGAGGAATAATGAAGCCGTGACTCACGCCGCTGTCGACATGTTGTGCGTGCTCTATGGCAGGTAAAGACAGGGCTTTTCTTTAAGTGGCCAAAATGGTCAGACCGGACATATTTAAATTTAAAAAAGAGTATTTCGTTCAGAATATAGCGGCGAAATTTCCGAGCTAAATAGATGCAAGAAACGAAATACGTAAACTCAGCCAACTTTGAAATTTGCATGTTAACAGGATCCAATTTTATCGAAACCAATTCTGTTGTTTTATATAGCCAAGGCACGATAACTATGACATTCGACAAGAACAGGTAAACAAAAGCTCTCTGTTATCCTGTGAAAAATTTCCAAGCAGTTTGTTAGGAATTCTCACGATAAATGTGGTAAGATGTGTGGTTTTGGTTGCCTATAATCTATGCTGAACCAATTCATTTTATTTTTCAATCCCTCTTGTATGTATATAGCCTTGTTTTGGAAGAGAAATTCCCTTGCAAAACTCAGCAAGTGATTTGTAGCAACTGCCTTTGTAATTTGGACTACCTTTCTAATTAACACAGGAAATAGATTAACCATGAAAACTTTTGTTCTAGAATCGTTCCACTGGGGTTTTAGGTATAAGTGGATTGCTTGATTTTTTGACGTTTGCTCTGTGTCCTCCTTATAGGTGAAGTTCAAGTTGCTTTGCAATATATCAAAATAATGTGGGGGGTGAAGTTGGACATTCATGTTAAACTAATAGTAAGGTGTGATTGCTTCTAATATTTTGAATCAATCATGTGGTCTGTTATAATAAATCGACTATTGCATATTCCTCTTAGTGAGACAACAGACGATGAACAGTTTGGGAAATTACTGGAGAAAGTTGCAGGTATGCTACAAAGAGATTTGAGGAGTTTTCATTCAACTTGCCTTCTTAGTAGTTTATAGCTCTTTGACTGACGTTGAGAGTTGATTAAATTGCCTTTCTCTCTTTACATTTTTAGTGAAGTCTACCACGACCACTAGCTTGACC